TATGTAAATAAGCATAATATGACGCATGAGGCGCCGCAAAACATTGCCAACATTTGAAAGGATCTTTGCCACAGATATCTGCAGAGATATTTTAATAATATAATATTTTTGCGGTAACAGATACATAAATTATATAATTAGTTAGTTTTTAAGTGGAGTATAGCAGAAAACTCTGATTGTTCTACTGTTCTTTAGTAGATTCTGATCTCAACCTAGAACTTTTAAGGACGTATTCTAGACTAGAAGAGTTAAGAGATCGATTTTTTCTATATTTTCAAAGTTTAACTATTCAAAAATATGTGTACAAGAGCATTTTTCAAAATTCAAAATATTTTTGAACCTATAGTTGTTTGACCACGATAATCCTCCTGTTCCTCTGCGAAATGTTAAACGCGCATTTCTCGAAACTATCTTTTTCGCTAGGATTCCCACGATTTCTCAACTTCTACTGGACCGATCTACTTGAAATTTTTACAGAGTCTTCTTTATAGACTTCTCATCAGTATGAACTAGACTCATCCCTAAATTATGATTTTTACTATTTTTTAAAAATCGAAAATATAAAAAAATTATTTGTCAGTCACTTGCTGTTTTGTGTTTTTTTTTTTAACTAGTCCATAGTTCTTAAGAATTAATAATTAATTAATAGATTAATAATTCTTTTTTTTTTCAAATTATTCGCAGGTCTAAAATCTGGACTACGATCACGTGATACATTTTCGATACCCTCTATCACCTGCTAGAATTAAGACTTTTTGAATGTTTTAAATTCTTTACTATATTCTTGAAACATTAATTAATGACCAATAGAATGAATAGTAAACATATTGTTTTCACTGCCTTCCAAAAATCCCAAAAAATTCATGACTCTAGATTAGATTCCTTCTTGATTGATGATAGTTATACATACTTAAAATTTTTAGAGTCTTCTTCATAGACTCATCTCCAAATCTCATTCAATCATCATTTAAAAAAAAAAGTTTAAACGACAAATTTTATTTTCAGTCAGTCACTATTTTGTGATCTTGTTTAATTTGTCCGTAGTTCATAAAAATGCGACATTATTCTAGATTAATAATTTTTTTTACTTTAAATTATTTGGAGGACTAAAATCTGAAGCAGGTGACAAATTTTTGATACCCTCTATCACCTGAATGTTTTCAATTTTTTCTGTATTTTTGAAACATTAATTAATGACTAATAGAATGCATAGTAAAAATATGGTTTGTTTTGTTTTCACTGCCTTCCAAAAATCACATAAAATTCATGCCTCTAGACTGGAATATCTCTTTAATTCGATTAATGATAGTCTACAACTTAAAGTTAATTCTGTATAGTTGCAATATATTTTGTATTGGTTTATCAATCTTAGCATCATCTAATTTCTGTATATTTGAACATTCTACTATCAGACTTTATCAAACCTTCCAAGATATATTTGGCACTTTCCAAAGAAACCAAAAGTTGAAGAACGTTTTTTTTATCTTTCCTAAACTTTTTCCGCATTGATCAAATTACTGTATTTCAGCACAGCTTAGTACAATTTAAAGTTAATTAATTAACTTAGCAAAAAATGTAACAAAGTTGTTGACTGAAACTGCATTTTACTCTCATGGCAGCTTTTTACATTATTTGTACATCTGTTGTTTTTGAAGTGAACCAATTAGCGTTGGTTATATTAAACTGGCGGTAGTAATTAATTTTCGCTTATGCTTCAGAGTGAAATCTCAAAGATTATTTCTTTGGACATCTTGTTTGTTCTTTGTTAGAACCATATGGTCATTATTCTTACAAGACGGATGTTGAATCTTATTTAATGCAACATTTTGAGATGCAAATGAATTGGCCAGATCACATTAATGTCAAAAATATTCATATTTTTTATATAATCACTTAATTATTTATACTGACACTAAGTTGATCAATAAAAGCTGCGGTTCTATTGGCTGTTCAGGAGGTTTGGCCAAATGCCACAAATGTTTACTATATTTAGAACAGTTATTTAATTCCTTTCGCACTCCACAATCATTTGAATTTAGAATTACTAATAGTCCAAGAGCCAGGTGCAAATTTGGTTAATTATTTCTTCTCGATAGATAATTGGCGATACGCATCAGACAACAGTATCATAAAGCCCTATGACCGTCAGCTGCGGCACAGTGGGGGGGATGAGTAATTGGAACCCCCCACGCTTGAAGAAAAAAAAAAAAAAATTCACTCATTTCCTCTCGGCTAAAAGTTTATCAAGTTATAGCTAACCCAATACCTCAACCAAAAAAAAAAGTCAGCTGGTTATAACATAGTGCATTGTACGTCAGCTGATGGCTAGATCATGGGAAAAATAATCTTCACTTTCAGTGATATCCTCTCGGTTAAAAATTTACCAGATGATAGCTTATATGTAACAATTGATAAATATATACGTCAGCTGGCTGTATCTCGGTGGAAAAATCGTCAGCTAATACTTTGAAGGTCGTTACGTAGAAGTTAGCCAGAAGCATTTATTGACTATTTAAAGGCATCAGCTGACCAGGTTTCCCTCGACTTATTGCTTGCTGATTTTTTTTATTCATCACAGTATTATATTTGAAATCAACTCACAAATTTTCGTGTGGGAGGAAATGACGCCTCTTTAACACGTTCACTGCGTAAGAATTTTTTCACTACTAGTGCGTATGGCATTACGAGGCCGAAATGTATTCGTTGTTCCGACACTGACGTGTTAATAATTATGTTAGCTAACATGGCTAATATATCAGAAAATATCAACATTCGCATGGAAGTTGGAGTTGGAAAAGCCCAAAGATTTATAAATGTTACTCAATTATACGAATCTTTGGGATCTGATTTGAGCCCAGCACTTCTGGCATTTCACGCATTCACAGGGTGTGATTTTAACCCGGCCGTTTTTCGAAAAGGAAAAAAACGACAATTTTCAATAATGGCTAAATCGAATGTTTTCATCGAGTGTATCATCCAAATGTCAAAATCATAAGAGAATAGAGACAATATTTTTGAGAAAATTCAAGAGTTTGTTTGCCATATGTATGGATTAAATCGTCTGAAAAAGGTCAATGAGGCAAGAGTAGTGTTGTTTGAAAAAACATATAAATTCTTGGATACGGAGACATTCAAGTTACCAAAGAAAGGTATTGATGGCTCTTCTCTACCACCTTGCGAGTCAGAGCTATATCAGCAATTTTTAAGAGCATGCTATATTGCTCAAATTTGGTCAAATGCACACTTGAAGGTTCCAACTTCTGATGATCCGGAAGACTATGGTTGGGAAGAAATTGACAATAAATATGATTTTACCTGGTTCTTTGGAAGTCAGTTACCAACATCGATTGATGAAATAACTATCCAGCCCGAAAAAGGTAACATTTTATTATCATATTAATGATATTATGCTAAAATACGCATTCTAATTTTTTTTTACAGATTATGACAATGAAAATATAACAGCAGACAGCTCTGACAGTGACTCGGACAATGAATCAGAGAGAGATAGTTGTGACTCAAGCCAAAGCGAAGCCGAAAATGATTAAATAACATTGTCATTCGAATTGTAATTTGTCATAATTTTTTTATAATAAATATTTTTTTATCAAGTAACTACTTAATTTATACTAAGCAAATTGATTATTGAAATATTGGAATATATCTAAAATTATATGATTATATACTTATAAGTCTAAAAAATATTGATATGTTTGTTTCATCTCAACACTCATATTGGAGTGCTATGCCGAATAATCAAAGAGACGTCATTTCCTCCCACACGAAAATGTGTGAGCTGATTTTAAATATAATATTGTGATGAATAAAAAAAATCAGCTAGCAATAAGTCGAGGGAAACCTGGTCAGCTGATGCCTTTAAATAGTCAATAAATGCTTCTGGCTAACTTCTACGTAACTACCTTCAAAGTATCAGCTGACAATTTTTCCACCGAGATACAGCCAGCTGACGTATATATTTATCAATTGTTACATATAAGCTCTCATCTGGTAAATTTTTAACCGAGAGGATATCACTGAAAGTGAAGATTTTTTTCCCATGATCTAGCCATCAGCTGACGTACAATGCACTATGTTATAACCAGCTGACTTTTTTTTTTGGTTGAGGTATTGGGTTAGCTATAACTTGATAAACTTTTAGCCGAGAAGAAATGAGTGAATTTATTTTTTTTTCTTCAAGCGTGGGGGGTTACAACTGCTCATCCCCCCCGCCGAGCCTCAGCTGACATTCACGAGGCTCTATAGTTCGATTTTCTTATGCGTTTTACCAATTATCAATTGAGAGGAACTTGGTCATATAAATCTGTTACTGGCTCTCGGGCTATAAATATATCGATAATAAATAATTACATAACAGATAACCATGTCGGTATTCAAATTTGATGCTAATTAACTCCGCATGTCGAAAAAACAACTAGATAACAAATTAAAAAAACTGATAACTTTCCGTATACTAATAATGAACAAAATGCAAGATTTAGTAGTTTACTCGAATCTGTTTATATTTGAGAAGATATTAACCCGCAAAAATACAGTCCAAGGTTATAGGAAGAACGCCAACTGAAAACGAAATATTTATAGCTGATCTAAATCTCGATATGAAAATATACAAATTTACGTAGGCTGATGACGTTTAGAATTTGGGTTAGTCAAAAGTATTCTTAATGTTCTATTATTACGTGCAATTGGTTAAGGTCTGATAAAAATTCCTTTGGGGTGAAAATGGGGTGACGATGTCTAATGGCCTTCTGTACTTAAGTGTTTTACCTGATTCTTGAAGGTATCATCTTATGATTATGTCATTTTTTGCACCCGTCATCTAAAGCTGTAAAATATAATTATTTATTCTTTACTTTTTCGGAGTGATAAAAGCATTGGCCCATGGCAGTCCCTTCTCCTAACGTTCGTTAATGATGAAATGAATGACCGCGTTTTATCAAGAGACCAGACAAGTTCATAGTCCATGACGGCGGTACAGATGTTCATTTATTATGGTTAATTGGCCGTCAATTCCATAAACACCCTCCTAACTATTGTATGGGGCTCTAATAAAGTCAAGCAGAAAAATAAAAATTTGGTAATTTTAGAATTCAAAGTATTACTGAGCTTTTATGGACAGTTTTAGCAAATATTGCTGGACAATATTGGTATCGGTTTCTACGAAAAGTATATTAGGTTGGCCACTACGTAAGGGCAGTTTTACTATTAGAGGGTGTTTGACAAAAAATCACGAAATATCAAGTGGGGGAAGGAAGGTGCATAGTAAGATATCACGTGTATTTATTTTTTACCTGATTTTTTTTTTTAAAAAAATCAAACATTTGCAAGAATGTCAAAAATTTTACAATTTTTTCTTGTAACTAAAAATACACGTGATTTTTAGTGAAGGAGGGGGGTGGTATTTTTCAATATCATTTTTACAAAATTGTGTTTCAGGTTATTCCATTAATCATCACATATCTTTACTCACTAGGCTAAAATTTTTGGAGCCTGGTTTGAAATTTTTCGCAAATACCATGGTTCTGTTCTTATACCATCTAATTACTTTTAGTCTCAATTTTCCAAATTTTGTTCTAGTGATTTTTTACTTAAGTATGGTAAACGCTCTGGTCGTCCACAGTTAAAGATCTACATTGAACTATTTTCACCAAACGAATATCAATTTTGATGTCAACATTCAACAACTGCAATTGAAAAAATGCTGTCTGGATTGGTGATTTAAGTTATTCCATTGTCGACATCATTGTTCGCCCGTTGTCATTGGTTCTTGGTTGGAAATTTTTCCCAAATCCGAAATTGTCTCAATTTTCCAATTTTCGTTCTAATGATTTTTTTACTTAAGGATGATAAGCGCTCTGGTCGTCTAAGTTGAAGATGTTTAAAAAGGAATTGCCTACATTGAATTATTTTCACCAACCGACTGATCAATTTTGATGTCTTCATTCAACAACTAACAAAACTAAATAATGCAATTGAAAAAAGCTGCCTGGATTGGTGATTCAGGTTATACCATTTGGAACAAATTAGCTCCAATTTAGATTGAGTGTGTCATGACTTTTAATACATAAACAAAAAAAATTAAAAAAATATCGATGTCTAATAAAATCATCGTTGAATCACAAAGTATTGAATTTTGATCATATTTGCCTAATTACCGCAATCAAATCATATCAAGACAATAATAAAGGCGTTGTGTAAGCACAACTGTAAACTTGAACAAAGAAATTATATATGGGAAAGTTCTCCACCATTATTGATATCACAAATTTTTGGTCACTCTAATGAAATTATTGGAGTTTATAGATGATTCGCCAAATCCACCAAATAGTCCTCACCTTACACCATCAGATTGTTTTTAGTTGAATCTCAAATTATTGAATTTTAATCAAATTCGCCCAATTACCGCAATCAAATCATATCAAAACAGTAATAAAGGCGTTGTGTAAGCACAACCGTAAACTTGAACAAAGAAATTATTTATGGAAAAGCTCTCCACCATTATTGAGATCGTATAGTATATCTTGGGCCACTTCAATAAGATTATTGGAGTTTAGTTAGGAATTTTTTTCCAAATCCACTATGGTCCTGACCTTACACCATGTGATTACTTTTAGTTTCAATCTTCACAAAACTCCTTGAATTAAAAAAAAAATCAATAATAACGATCAGGGTCCAAATTGTACCTGACTTACTCTCATATAACTCCTTGATATCATGTGTGAAAAATCTGTGTTAACCATATGGATCTCGTGTAACATCTTCAAAATATCTGTCACTAGAATTAAAAACAGTGTCAGTTTTTTATTTTTGCTTCACTTTGCCGACCTTGACGTTCTATGCTCTTCGATTTAATATGTATGCGTTCCCGTACATTTGTTGTAGAGTCCGCGGTGCGTGCTGTGTCCACTGGCGCGCGTCATTGCAACGGGCGAAGGGTACATGGTACATTACATACTACATATATGCGGTCGTGGAAACAGAGCTGGTGAACTTGATCTAATTGAATTTAATTAGTTGGATGAAATCGATTAATAGAGAAAATATTAGTGATCGGGAAATATTAATTTAATAAAGGGTCTGCCATCTAATTTTTTCTTATTGGTAGCAATTTAGATTTTTTTGGCAGTCATTTAAAAGTTAGGCATCCATTTAAATGAAATAATTTTTCATTATTAGCTGAAAGAATTATACTTTCAAATAAAAAAAATAAATTTAATATTGAGAAAATATTCAGTAGTTTTTTATAGCATTTTCAAAAAAAAGTTATTTGACGGACCCTATATATTGTTAATCTGTTCTTTTACACGTTCGACGACAGTAAAAGTTTCAGCAAGGTACTGTAATTGCCTATGATTTTATTTTTAAATTGGTTTTGGTATCCGAAATGTGATTAAACACCGTTTATAAGTGTAGTCAGATTATGATATTTTAAAATTTATATAGGATGAATGCTATAGCATCCACGTGAAGTATTACGCTTCTATTTTACGCAATGTGCTTGCCCAAGCTAATTTATGACTACAGGAAAAAATAAGATACTACGAAAATGTCTAAAGAATCAGTTAGTCATTACCTGAACTGATGTAATAATTACAAAAACGTAAGGTTATGTAAAATTAAATTCCAAATAATCGCCTAAAATGTGATTGCTATAGCATTTATGCCATTCTGCATCACAGTCAGTCATTTCCTTGACGGGTGTAATAATTACAAAATCGTGAGGGAATATAAAATTAAATTCACTAAACTAAAATTTGAATGCTGTAGCATTCATGTCATTCTGCATCACATTCACGTCCACCAACGTGTTAATCAAGATAAACGCAAACAAATTTTATAAATCTTTAATGCTGCAGTCTTATTTATTAACTTCCCCAAGAATATGTTTGTTTTCGCTCAATATCCGATTTGCTCATTTTATTTTTTCTCAACGTTTCAAGTCATTCTGAATCGAATGAGATCAAATTTAAATAAAGTATGTGTTAGAGCCGATTTTTGACTTACCATCGACGTTTTTCCAAAAACGGTGGGACGGATTTCCGAAGAATAAGTTTGTTTTCGCCATAAAATCCGATTCGCCAATTTCATATTTTCTCGACATTTCAAGTTATTCTGAATCTAATGAGACCAAACTTAGAAAAATTATGCGTCAGTGTATGTGTATGTGAGTCATGTGATTTTTGACTTTCCGTCGACGTTTTTTTCAAAAACAGTGGGACGGATTTCAAACATTTTAAATCCTTGCGATGTGAAACTAATTGAGAATTCTTTGCAATTTTTTATTGTTTTGTAAGAAATTTGGATATACTATTTAGATGTAGAATATCTGAGCCGCACAGCTTGTTGAGCTCATCCCTTTTATTTATTGTAATATCATAATAAATAGTTATAAATGATCTTTCATTAGTTCTTCTTTTGAATTTTTTTGTGATACAGTCGGCTTAAAAAAGTCTATAATGTATTTTGAAGTATAGTTTTAAATTGTCTAGGATTTTTGGATCTGGATTGGATATCTGAATATCTGAATATCTGAATATCTGAATATAGGAATATATGAATATATGAATATATGAATATATGAATATCTGAATATCTGAATATCGGAATATCGGAATATCTGAGTATCTGAATATCTGAATATTAATTGTGAAGGAATATCGGAATATCCGGAATATCTGAATATCTGAATATCGGAATATCTGATTATTATTGTGTTATTGTAATCGCGCAATTAAATTCTGGCTCGTTTTTCCTATGTAAATTAAATTACAATCGATGCAGTTTATTTGAGTTTATTTTTTAAATTTTTAAGTCCATGATTTTTTGAATTATTTTTGTGTTGTAATTGCGTAATTAAATTCTTGCTCGTTTCTTCTATGTAAATTAAATTACAATCGATGCAGTTTATTTGATAGTTTATTTTTTAAATTTCTAAGTCCATGATTTTTTTAATTATTTTTGAGTTGTAATTGCTTAATTAAATTCTGGCTCGTTTCTCCTATGTAAATTAAATTACAATCTATGCAGTTTATTTGATAGAGCAAATTTCTAAGTCTAGGATTTTTGAATTATTTTTGTATTGATGTAATTGCTTAATTAAATTTTGGCTCGTTTTTCCTATGTAAATTAAATTACAATCGATGCAGTTTATTTGATAGAGCAAATTTCTAAGTCTAGGATGAACAAATTTTCTAGGTCGTTCGCTGTTAAAGGGGTTTTGGTTTTAGTAGGAATAGTGCTACACGTTGTACTGAAGTTGTTAACAAGACGTATTCCTGATTTCTAAAAATTATAAATAAAATTATAAAATATTTTCGTAGGAATGTACAGTTCTTAAGTTCTTTATAAATCTCGATAAGAAATAGCCTT